TCTTCTTTGCTAAACGCTCCCAGTATTGGAGTACATTTTTCCAGTCCTAAAACTCTTGCCCTTGTGACATCATCTCTCATCACTGAACAAAACCGGAGTTCACCAGACAGTTAATGTGGTCATTGCCTGAAAATCTTTTAGTGATGATTGAAGTTCAACTGTTTCTCTTCCTGTTCCTTCTCGAGTAAGGCTGTCTTGCATATATCTCGCTTTCTCGACTACTGGCCGCCGATGTCCACGCAATCCTATTACTTTCAGAACCGCAAAGGTACTTGTAGTCATAACTGCCACACTCAATTGACTCCTTTAGTCTTTGGACATTCAACACTGGAAGATAGCACGTCCCCAAGTCGGTATCGCTAGGCAGACTACCTAGAAACAGTGTTGATTGGCTCTGCTACAACGGTGTGTGGATAGAGTAAAAGGACGAATAGTGCCCAATAGGTGTGCTAGACCTTTTTCGTAACTCCATAGATCTGTATCCTTCAAGAGGATGAGAGCGACTCATACGGTCTTGTTTGCTGCGGATGCTGAGGCGTGTCAGGGGTACTGGGTTTGGAACGGCGCTAACCTGTCCTCCGTCGAGGGGCAAGCGATGACAGTCGCTGAAAAATGGGTTGGCGCCGCGCCATGCCAGTCCGTTAAGACGCCCCGGCGTCTACAGTGAACAAACCACACAGCATATTGCTCAGACGGTCACTGGCAGAACAAGACAAATGCTGCTATAATTCTGGACAACCACTTGATGCGTGGCGCAATAGATCACAATTCACAAGGCATTGTTTTTACCTCTTCGTTGAAGGTTTAAAAATATACAAGCACAGAAGTTTGACCTCAGTCTAGCTCATACTACTCTTTTCACAGAATATGTACTCTTATCAGTAATTGGTTTGTTTCGCGATCAATTCAGTCACATTTCTCTTCACCATTGTCCACATTTCTTTCACTGCTAGCTAACCACTTCGGAAATTCGTTAACCCATTTGTTTCAACTAGAAATCACGAGAAGTGCGCCTCACAAAGTATGCTTTCAGGTCTTTCCGAGCTTACTTTCATGACACCACGGTCTCCACTTACAGCCTTTTCAATACATCGTCATACGTGATCAATGATTTGTCAATTTTTAGGACCTTTCCAGCCATGAGCCTTTTTTGCTGGGTATTATTAGTGGCGATCTCACTATATTCTGCTGATGCCTACAAATTCCTGGTCTTCTCTCCCATATACGGTTACTCGCACACTAACTTCATGGGCACCCTTGCTGATACCCTAACGGAAGCTGGACATGACGTGGTAAGTCTCAAAGGCTAAAAACCCTATTTTCTGAAGTATGAGACGCATTCATTAGAATGGTCGCACGGCGCCGCGCGCGAAGAATTTCTATGAACAGCGAGAGCTGTTATTGCCTTTTTTTGCGTGTCCTTATCTACTGACTGACTCGTTTTTGTACACTTTTACTCAGTGTTATTGCTCGACTATTTCCCCAAAATATTAGTGTCAGAAGACTGACAATGTTCATTGATGAGACTGTCAGCAATATAATCAGTGAAGCTGAACCTTGATAAAAGTTTCGGTATTACTGTGAAGGGCTAGAAAATGGCCGTTTGTAAAACTACTGATAACCTAAAACTGGACCGGATGAGGAAATTTCCTTGCGAAACCCTGACGGCGTTTGAAACGAAGATGAGCCTTGTTCTCTAAATAAGAGGGAAAAATATCAAGTGAGAAAATACAACGAGGAGGGTCAGTTGATATGGGACATCTGCCCCATGCCGCTTCTTATTGTTGGTTTGCTGCTGGGTAAATGTCGGAACAAACTGACCTATTCCTTGATTCAGTGACAGAAAATGCATCCAAACGTCTTTAACCAGATATTTGAAGAAGGCAGGACTTTATTGTGCGTGGACAGGGCGATCTGGTATAGCTCCAGTAGAGCTTCAAGATAAAGATAGTTCGCGCTGAAGTAATTCGTAGGCATCCCTCCTTATACAAGTAATCTGGTCCTCCTTCCCTAAAACTGGTCCCACGGCTTTTTCGCGGCTTTATAATAAGTAACGAACGCGCTGTAGCATCCATTAATGGCAGTTCTGATACCTCCTTAGCTGTCCGACCCTCCGAAACTTAAATGTATTTTTCTGTCAATTTTCAGTTTAAACAACATTTGAAACTTTTCTGTCAGATGTTATTGGCATTAACGGAGAAACAATTAGGGAGGCGGAGGTGGCAGGATATCGTTTCGCTGACATATACCGAGCACGTCTGGAGAACTCGTACCGAGGGACTGCCTGGTCCCCACTTAGGGTGTGATTTTTTATGATTTTTGATGATTATGGTTTTTGGTTTTTCTATTCTTCGATTCTCTATGACTTTTTTGATTTCTCTTCCCTTATTAGTCATCAAGCGACTCTAGGTGTAATTTAGTGTCACTGTTCACACTATCCAATCATGGGCTTTGTCTGTGAAGGCCCAGTGGGAAGAACCTCCATCAAAACTGAATTGTCTCACAGCTCACACGCCGATGTATCTTCTCCTTTTTAGCTCCAAATTTAAAAAAATCCAAGCCTTTTCAGAGAGTGACCTCAAAACAGGAACATCAGAATTTCAGACCGTATTGATGCCAATATTGGATGAGGAACAGAAAAATAAAACTGGAGTGAAGTTAACCAAAAAAGTCATAAAAACCCCACCGGATCCGCGTAATCACGTCATGGCACAACACAAGAATGATATATTGGGCAAAATGTGGACATTGGAACCATCCATTTTCGGAGTTCTTCAGGTAACCACTTCAACACTCTAGAAATTGATGACGCAGACTTTGCTGGCTCTATGCATGTTCAAATGAGCATCGCGCTGGCAGATCAGTGATTGGAAGCACTGAGCCATTGCGTGAGCTGTAGAATCGTATCTTTTTAGAACCGTTGGGACTTCCCCCAGTTTGGTTCAGTTGACTGACGTAATTGTCCGGAAAATTACAACCAAGGGCGGCATCGTCGATTAGCCTTCACATTCTCTTGTTTGGACCAAGAATGCAACCAAATGCCCGAAATAAAATTCACTGACTGGCCGTGCCAACTTGAATCCCCATCATCAAGCATTTTTTCTGTTGGGTTCGGAATACGCATGAAGGTCTCCAGAGCTTCTGCAACAACCAGTCACACCAAATCTCGTCCCAAAATCTCAGTCTTTCTTGAGAGCGATTTGCCCATGCTCTGACTTGCGCTACAGGTTCTTCTGTTACTATTAGGTTGTTCGGAAAGGAATGCGCGTTGACTTTGTCTATTTATTTCTCTTCTACTATAGGAGATTTTTTTGCGCATCTTTTGATATTTTTTTCTATGTCTACCTTGTTTTTTTAGAGAAAAAAGTTTAGAAAATGCTCGACCAAAAATTTCGAATGCGAGCTTGTATGTGGTAAGTCCTAACGACGCACTTGGGTGGACCTAATGACCCACTCGGCTCACAGGGGCAGCGGGCGGACCTAGCGACACACTCGGCGAGAAAACTGGCAAAAAGAGGCTCTTTTGACCTACATTTCCTCTCCGGCGGACCTACACCCGAGGGGAAAAGTAGCGAAAGAGGCTCTTTTGGCGAAGTTGTCGAAAAGAGCCACTTCTAACAGAGATTTTAAGATTCATCAATTGAACCGCGTGGATGAAGCACTGCGTCGTCAAGGTGTCGAAACGACGTCGACAAAATTCCTCCACGACAACGCTCGTCCACATGTCGCGAAAATCACTTTGGAAAAAAATTGAGGAATTGGGCTGGGAAGTCCTGCCTCATCCGCCATACAGCCCAGACCTGGCACCATCCGATTACCATCTGTTCCGGTCGATGCAGCACTCCCTGGCCGAGAGAAAGTTCACAAACCGCGAAGAAGTCCAACTCTGGGTGTCCAACTACTTTGAGTCGCAGCCGGCCGAGTTCTTCGAAAGAGGAATCCATTCTTTGCATAAACGTTGGCAACAAGTCATTGATAGTAATGGAGATTATCTTTTGAATTGATCTTGTTTAATTTCGTTTTTATAATAAAAAATTTTTTACACTCAAACGCGCATTCCTTTCCGAACAACCTAATAGAACAGCCTACCCAGCACAGCGAAGACGTTGCTCGTGTTGGAAAGGGTTGGAGCACGGTATGATCACCGCACCGTGCGAGTCCCATGGCGCAACGTCCGCTCCGCACATAACTCCGCTTTTCTTCAAATCTCGGAGATTGGGAGGCGTGGCCTGCACAAAAGCCTTGTTTCACACTACTCAAGAAGGGTTTCCCGTTGGCATCGTGCCAATGGCCTTTAGTTGGCTACGGCTGCATGTATGCACTCATGTATCCATGCAACACCGCAACCACTTCAGATCAATTCCTTCGCTTCATACCGTACTTCGCACTTGGAGCGACACGAGCATCAGCACGGTCGGACTTTTGTGGACGCTCAGACGCGGTAGGCGTCCGAGCCGATATGCTGCAGCTTGATAGAGTGTCATAATGGTACCTTTCGTGAAAAAGGCATAGTGGAGTGCCTGCTCAGGAGTACCTTTATTCCCGCTATTGATTCCACACGCCTTGGGAATTTATCGTGCCGCTTGCTCTGGCAGTGGTTGCGTTTTTGCTAGGATACTGTGTACTGAAACATAATACAGGATGACAGCTGTCTCAAAGGAGAAATACTCCGCGATACACCATGTTCAAGTGAAGTACGCAGCCACGCCAGACCCCTCTCTCCAGGATATGAAGTGTATCTATAAGTGAGATATATGAGGATATGAAGTGTGTCTATAAGCTCAAGGTGTTTAGGAATCGGGGAATCACTTGATCAGACCTGATGCCATAATTGTATAATTGTACAGTATAACTGTCTAGCGAGTGTACCATTTATCGAAAACACGATCCAGCCAGCGAGTTGACGTCGCATATGCGAAATGAGCAAGGGGTGGATTTTGACCATCTTTTTTCAGATGTCAAAGAACATGACAACAATCTACGTCAATCAGTGCGAAGGTGGGTTACTTTCTCACAAACCTCAAACGGAGGCTGTACGCTTGCATCCTTGTGTGGTCTCAAAAATGTGCAACACACTTGTGACTCATGTACACATATGTACATACATCCTAGCTCAGAGAGCTGAGCATTTTCACAGGGTCATGGGGACGTTTCTTTCTGGAGGGGTCGTACCGACTACCGACTTTTTTCCGCGACGTAACGCTTCATCCAGATGATAAGTACCTTGGAGACTAGAGGAACCGTTCGTTGAAAAAGATTTTATGTCTAAGTTCCAGTCAAAAATCGGCGGTTCTGTCCAACCTAGTAATCACGTCGAGAGACGGAAGTTACTTTAAATCGTTTTTTAGATTTCATTGAGTAAAATAGAAATGCTTGAACCAACGGACTGTCGTGTTTAGCTGTCTTCAGTGACGACGCGTTAATGAAAGCGACTGGCTGCTGAGAAGTTCGACGTTGGCATCACGGAGGCTGTCATGATTTGTGGGTTAGGTAGGCCTTGGTCAGGATCCAACCAAATGGCTGTCCATCACTGCATCAAATTTTTATTCAGGAATCTTCGAGGTCCTGAAAATTCCGGCTTCGATCGCCACAAGGGCTTCTGCGCATTCGGACAGCATTTCAAAAGGCATCGGTGAACCAGTGGTTCCTAGCTATGTACCTGGGAAGTCGCAGTTTTTTTTTCATAAGTGTCAAACTTAGCGGTAGTAGATATGTTGATGTATTGCTGTAGCTTCGACTGCCATAGCCTCCACTCTAGAAGCAATCGTGCAAATGCAAATTTTGGGAAGTGGGGTTCAAATGCGAATTTGTATATGGTGATCTTACCTTTGGTAGTAGAGCTATTCAGAAGATAATGTGGTGTCTGACTCAAATGTTGCTTTTTCGAGGTTCATTAACAGTATTGGCCGAGAAATGAGCGGTAAACAGACAATGACAAGGGAGGTCTTTCAGGTCGTGGCGCGCTTTTTAGAAATGGTTTGTTGCATATTGTAGGGGTAGGGGTACATTTAAGGATCACAGAAATGGGTTTCGTTTTTGCTATGCATTCCTGGGAATGCTAAATAAGTGATTGAAAAGTTTGCAAAAGAAAAGAGATTTTGAGCCATTTTCTAGGCTCTTTTCTATTACTAATGTTGAGTATCCATAGCAAATGAGATCTTCGTCGACTCCGCATTGAAAGCAACACAAGTTAAGGGGAAAAAGATACCTCAATTGGCACAACGAGGTAATACTAAAACTTCTCAAGTGATCTCGCGGCATCCTACCCCCCTCTTTAGGGGAGGGCATTCAGAGCCGTGTTGACGCCAAATGGCCTCCGAGCCAGTGATAAGGTCCAGGGCCTTTAATAATCCCTACACAGAGTTTCGGTAAAATTTTTCTCCTAGAGCTGTACGAGTTATGATCATATGTATGTCGTGTTACTGAAAGCTATCAGTATTCTGTAGAAGTCGTTATGCAATTTCAATACTTGGACCTTTCTATTTATTAGGTTGTCCGGAAAGTTCTTAGCGTTTTGGGTGTTTCACTTTAAGCGATCGTAACTTTCTTAATACTCATCGGATTTAATCGAAATAGGCACCATTCGAATCAGCACACTTTTGCCAATGTGACAGCAGTCGAGAAATCCCATAAAAGGAAAAACTGGGTGGTCGAGAATCCACGAAATCTACGAAGGTCTTTTTTGCCTGGTCTTAATTGAAGAAGTATTTTTCAGCAAGGAAGTTCTGAAAATGTCTGAAAAGGTGACAGTCGGTTGGTGAAAGGTCTAGAGGAATATGGTGGGTGAGGTAGAACTTCAACCCCCAATTCGTTCAATTTATGGATAGTGATTTGTGAAACGTGTGGGCGGGCGTTGTCATGCAAAAGAATCGGACCCTTTCTTTTGATAAGTGTTGGCTGCAGCTGACAATATTTTCGGTACATTTGGTCGGTTTGTTCACAGTAGGGTTCTGCTGTGATGGTTTGGCCTGGCGATAAAAAGTTATAGTGGATTACAACAGCCGATGACCACCAAACCTGACCAGAATTTTTTTTCGTGAGGGTTCGGCTTTGAAAATTACCTCGGTGGTTCCTCCAAATCCAACCACTGTCCGGAACATCTCCTGTTATCATACATGATCCATTTTTCATCACAGGTGACAAATCCGGTTCAAAAACGGGTCAATTCTTTTGCGCAAAAGCAGTGCAGCGAAGAAGGAACCTCTCGAGACACGTGCGAAAATTTTTTTTTTATTCCTGCCGGTCACTCCGATTGTGGGGCACCTAATTGTCGGGTTTTTTCACCTTCCCAATGCGTTTCAAACAATCTACAACACTGGATTTGCCAACGCCTAGCTTTTCTGCAATCTCTCGAACTGTTTGGGATGGGTCAGCCTTCAAAATCTCCTCAAAATCCTCGTCAGATATTGCTTTAGGTCGACTGCCATGAGGTTCATCTTCAATGCTGAAATCTCCTGAACGAACTTTGTTGAGCCATTGCAGCACAGTGCTTTCTCAAGCACTATTGGGCCCCCACACCTGGTTAATTTGCTGAGCTGTTTCGGTTGCGGATTGCCCCAATTTATAGTCGAAGAAAAAAATCGTCCGAAGTGCTCTTTTCACATGTTTGAAAAAATCTTGAAAAAAGGGAGTTCAATAAGCAATGGTGAAACGGCAATTATACCATCAGATAGCGCAAGAAATTCTCTACAGGATTGGCTTTTTTTTTTTTTAAAACTTTGGAGGGGGAAAAGGGGGGGCCCCCCCAAAGGCAGAAAGAGTTTTTAAACAGCAGTGAATGTACAAAAAATAGGTGCACAAAACGCTAAGAACTTTCCGGACAACCTAATACTATGTATATACAGGAGGGGGGGGGGCAAAAAAAAAAAGACTTTTTTCTTCCTTGACTTTCGAGGTGTTGTAAGTTACACTTTATTAAATTCTTATCGGACATATTTTTACCACCATATTAAAGAGCATATTAAATACTATAACGACACTCCGCCACAGCCTTCTGGACGAGCGCCATCGAGAGATTCTGGCACGCGACCGCGATGTGGTGCCTGAGATCAGCGAGATAGTCGATTTCTCCGCCACCGTAGACCACCCTATTGAACTCCGCCCGAGAACCGGGTAATTGAGGAGGTTTAGGTCAGGTTACCTGCTTAGATATTCCACCTTCTTCAGGTACTCAGCCCCCTTCCATTCCAGGCAGTAGGGCGAGCAGTATATCCTTCAACGCCCTTCGATTCCATGTGGTGGCACCCAATGCTGTAGCAGTACAAAGTTTCCAAGAAGGTACGGGCGACCACATGTGAGGAGGATATTCTTCACGAGTTGCCCAATGTAACCGCCAGCGCTCACCTTCAGTCCGGGGTCCACGAAGAAAATATTGGTCTTTCCATTCCAGGTACGTCCGGTCCATACCATCAACCCGCGCCTTGGCGACTGCGGTGAAGATGATGTCCCAGACCGTGGCGACGTTGTCGGAGCTGCTCGATGATGGAGGTCTTCCAGATCGAGAGTACTGGTCTCCAGGTAGCTATCCATGGGTGACTCCATACTAGAAGTTTCGCAGCTGTTTGGAGGTGACATGAATTCCGAACGTCTTCTCCAGTCAGGTTGTGGCTAGAGATGACTTCATATTTTGGTGTTGATACCATGAGATGGTGATGGGCGAGCGCCAGCTCCTGCTTGTAGAGGAACATCTTGAGTATCCTCCGCCCTGGTACTCGAATCCATCTGGGCTGCGAACACTTTGCTTATATGTGACTCGGTCAAAATGACTTTTTTTTGGCCCCCCTGTACATTCATAATTAAGAACTACAAACTCTAAAAAGGACAATAGGTACTGCACTATATCTACACTTGAAAAGTTGAGGTGGAACTAGTTCCGCTGCGTGCGCTGATCGGACGTCACTACCAATCCATTATCACCAAAACCTCCGAATTTTTTTTTTTCTGCCCGGGAAAGCGCTCGTATACAGGGGGTAACTGATGGACCCAATTCGACGATTGTAGACTTATTTTATGCGCCAGAGCGCAATTGGCACATAGCATGATGAACAGCAGATCGTGCGGGTTTGCGTTTCGTTCGATGCACGGAGGCTCTTGCAACAATATCGTGCGGCGAATTGCGCCGTGGTCAAAAATGAGTGGGGTACTCGTAGGCAAGGCATACAATAACCTAACTTTAAGCAAGATTTTTCACAATGACGTTTTGAGAGCGTAATAGTTAAGTAGGGTTAGTTCGTGAGCTATTATTGTATGGAATTAGCCCTTCAATGGCATATTAAATAAAAATTTTCCGCGTTATATACATCATCACGCATACAGGAACACAAGGAGACGGAAATTCGGAAAGTGGAAAAACTGGCCTCCGACCGGACCCCATCCACAAACTACCCCGACGTAGCCCATCGCATATCCACTCCACCATCCGTCCTCCCCCCCTTTTCACTCACTTTTTGGCATCTTCGTAAACGCATAGCAAAAACGAAACCCATTTTTTCGCATTTCTACTATCGGTCCCCCTACAACATTGCACAAACCATTTCTAAAAACCGCGCCACGACGTGAATGGCCTCCTTTGTAAGACACTACGAGCCTTCCTTCCTGCCAGGCGGGAACTCTTCTTAGGGGCTTTATAGTGCCAACTGCCTTCAAGGTGTGAGTGACGTGGTGGCGTGTTCAGCAATCAGATCAGAATCAAATTGAAAAAGGGTTACTATTACTGATAGTACTACTACAACCACTGCAATTGTGGATGTGAGACCTTATGTGCTCGGTACATGGCGTATTTCCTACATGGGTATGACCTAGCTATTTGCTAGACAGGCACAGAGAGAAGTAGTTGATTCGAATACGCAGACGCATAGAGAGTCCAGAAAGTGGACGTGCCGCAACACTGCCACGTTAAATAGTATGGGCGGTGGTGCGAATGCAACGCTCCATGCAAGCTACTCTCTGTATGGCCAGTGCTTCCACTAGAAAATGAAGAAATACCCTGCTTGAGGACCTAAAGGAACCGATCACATAAGGAGATCATTTAGGTGCTATGTCTCCATATGGTGACCGCATGAACATTCTCCAACGATTCGAAAACATGATCAGCTCAGTGCTCGGAGAAATTTTCTTCCGCAATCTCTTCGAAGCTGAAACCAAGGCATTTCGAGCCAAATTTGGGCCACATTTCAAGGGCTACCAGGTATGTGGGGCGATACTTGAGCACAATAATGATTATCCCTTATGTTGCAACACTACCAATTTCGAGTTTTCTGAAATCAAGTGCGTGCGTATTAGACTCTGAATTAGGCTGTAGTTCTCGCTACTAAAAGCGAAATGTCACAAAGGGGTTGCAGGCTAATGAGACTCTACTTCGGCTAATCCATCTTTGTTATAAATATATGTTTCATGTTCTAGCTTAATATTACACCAGAGCGAATCTCTAATGAGAAAACAGGAAAAGTTTGTTTTCGTTGCTATTCGAAGCTTTTAATGCTTACTACCCCGAATTCGGAGTGTAGCAGACTGTCACACCTACCTATTGCAAGATATAGACGAGGTGACAGTTCACCCTTTCTTTGCTTTCAGGAACTCCTAGCTGAGGTCTCTTACGCATTCATAAATTCAAATCCTTACCTCGACTTCCCACGCCCTATGCTGCACAAAACCGTGCCAATAGGTGGAATTACGGTAAACATCGATCCGAAGAAGAACATATTATCGGAGGTATCGTTCAACATTTCTGCATCAGACAAACTGTAAACTAACTGTGCAATTGATCCTTATCCTCGCTATGTGTGAGGTTAAGCAGCGTTCAGACTTCGCGACGACAGCGCTTCGGTCGCGCGTTCGACGCGATCAATGCAGTCGAAAGCATGCGCATCGATCGCGTCGAACGAACCGAAGCGCTGCCGTCGCGAAGTCTGAACGCTGCCTTAGTGAAACAGAAGCTGCAGTGGCCATTTCCTACGATCAAAATTTCACGGGAACAGGGCTGGAGTGGATCGACACTGTGCTGCGTCTATACCCTGCCCGCGCTGCCCAAGCATAGCCAAACTCGAACTTGGCTGACCCCTCTCATTGCTAGTTGCTTCCTGCAGCAGTGGTATGTGGTTCTGGTATCGACGTCGGTGCTGCACACTGGGGATATAGTATGGAGACGGCGCCCGGGTATCAGAACCCTCTAGCCCCATCCCCGTGAACCTACTGGAGAAAGAGCCACTGCAACTGTGGACATATTTACCTCGCACGTAAAAAGGACCGTTTTCGTGAGTGGGCGTGCAGTTTGTCTACAAGTACGTTATTTTTGAAGCGCTGCCCTTATCCTTGCAGGAATGGGACAGTATCCTGAACCTGAGAAACAGCACAGTGCTGGTGTCATTTGGCTCCATGGCAAAATCGGTGCTCATGCCCGACGAGTATAAGTATGTTGCTATTTTTAAATCTCAGCAAGAATGCAACACACTCATTTGAGAAGGAATGTAAGGCAGTCAGAAT